AATTTTAAAAAACTGTTTATTTCGATTCGATTTAATTTTTGATAAAAAACTAAACCAAACCGAATCGAACCGTATAACCTCAAGACCTAACACGCAAGACTCAACTTGGTAACTTTTCTCCGAGAGTAATATTAGTTTTGGGTTTTGACTTGGTTTAATTTTTGGATCAAGTAATCGTATATCATTAAACTATATTTAAATAATTATTAAAAGTTATCAAAAAAATAATTACATTATTGATTTATTAGAAAATAGTTATTAAATTTTAATTAAATTATATATAATGATCATTAAATTTTATCGAACCGTTATAAAATAATCATAAAATCTATCAAATTTTTAAATTCATTAGAATGTTGCAAATATTATTTAATAGCAGGTCGATAAATTTAATGCTTATTTCGTAATTTAAAAATTCTCAATAAAAGGATCATTTGTACCTAGTATAATATTTGATATACTTTATTCTATTTTTTATTTAATACACACATAAACATACTTATTAGTAATAATTAACTTTAGGGTTACCTTTTATTAAAAAGGTAATTTGCCTGTAAATGAACAATAGTTATGTCTAATTAATAATTTGTATGATTTGATTTTATTAAAATAGTAACAATTGATTATGTGATGGCATGATTGAATTTCCCTGTAAAGTATGGTGCATGCAACAATGTATTATATACCTAAGCAATTTGATCAAACAAAAGTATGTATGTATATATATATATATATTTAAAAAATCAATATATAATAGGGTAAACTACATGTTTAGTAACTAAACTATCAATTTTATTTTAGTATATAAACTTTCATTTGTTTCAAACTCATGCATAACGTTTACTTTTTATTTTGTTTTGGTACCTCACCGTTAAAAACTTAGAACTATTACAACACTTTTTATAGGTAAAATACATCATTTATCACTCAACTATCCACTCACGATTATTTTAGTCAATGAAGTTTATTTTTTAAATTTAATTACTTAACTTTCAAATTAATCCTAATGTAATCACTCTAACTTTCAATTTTATTTTTTTTATTTTAATTGTATATTAATAAATAATAATAATAATAATAATAATGTAATAAAATCATTAAGAGCTTTTACTAAGCTCAACCTCTCGTTTATGAATTCGGCGAATTCATCAATTCCATTTCATTAGGACCACCCACAAACTTGGGCTATGAATTCATAAAGAGTATAAAACTCAACCTCATAAACCGATGTGTCCATCAAGTTCGTCTCACTAGGACCACCCAAATCATAGGCTATGGATTTATTAAGAGTATAAAACTCAACATCTTAAGTGTACACAATATGCCATAGGGATAGGTAGGAACGATATGAATTACTCATCCAATGGGCTTAAGTCCCACCTCCTCAACGAATCAAGAACCATTTTCCTACATAACCCTTTAGTTAAAAGATCAACAAGGTTCTTTTCTGATTTCACGTACTCCAAAATGAGTACTCAATTCTTTATAAGATGTCTTATAGATTCGTGTCTTATCCTGATGTGTCTTTTCTTACCATTGCATGATTGATTATTAGCAACGCAAATTGCGACTTGTGAGTCACATAATAACGACACTGGAGGTGTATGTCTCCTCCATAAAGGAATCTCTGCAAACATATTTCTAAGTCACTCAGCCTCTTGCCCAGCTAAATCAAGAGCAATGAATTCTAATTCCATGGTGGAACGGCAATACACGTATGTTTTGCATACTTTCAAGAAATAGTTGCTCTACCTAAAATAAAAATTTACCCATTAGTATAACTTACTTCATCATTTTCTGTTACCCAATTTGCATCATAATATCCTTCAAGGCCTACAGGGTATCAACGAATTTAAGTTCCCAATTTATTGTACGTTTATGATATATGAGTAACGATTAAGAGCATTCCAATGCTCATTACTACGATTGTGAGTATAACTAATTAATCTACTAACAACATAGGCAGTATCAGGTCAAGTATAGTTCATTAAGAACACTAGACTTCCAATAATCTTTGCATATTCATATTGTGAGGCACTATTCCATTTATTCTTTTTACTTGAATTCTAGGATCATAGGGGTACTCACAGGGATTACATCAAAACTGTTAAACTTTTTTTAAAATTTTCTCTATATAATGAGGCTGGTTTAATGAGTATTCCTTATATGATTTAGTCATTTTACCCCTAAAATTACACCAACTTCTCTCAAATCAATCATTTCAAACTTAGTGGATAAAAAATCTTTAGTCTCTTTAATGGTTTTTATGCCTAAAAATTAGTAAGTCATCTACATACAGATTTATGAAAACACAATCAGATCCAAACATTTTAGAATACACACATGCATCAGCACCGTTAACTATAAAACCATAACTGAGAATAGTTTTATGAAATTTTAATACATTGTTTTGGAGCTTGTTTGAGACCATATAAAGATTTTTTTAGTTTGCAAACTTTATTTTCCTTCCCAGGTGCCACAAATCCTAAAGGTTGTTCCATGTAAATCTCCTCGTCTAAATCATCATTCAAAAAGGTTGTCTTCACATCCATCTGATGTATCAACAAGTTGTGAATGGAAGCTAAAGCAAATAAAACACAAATAGTGGAGATTTTAGTAACAAGTGAATATGTATAAAAAAGTCAATCCCAAACTTTTGAGAAAATCCTTTTACAACTAGTTTTGCCTTATACCTTTGTATAGATCCATCCGGTCTAAATTTCTTTCTAAATACTAATTTTTACTGATAGGTTTACAACCTTTAGGCAAGTTTACTAACTTCCAAGCGTGATTAGATAAAATGGATTCTAATTCACCTTTAATAGTATCTCTCCAAAAACTAGCATCAATAAAACTAATAGCTTCATCATATGTTTTTGGATTTCATCTATTAAAAATGCATTAGTTATATAATCACTAATTTAGTCTAAATCATCAATATCGATTATGAAAGAAGTAAGGAAGTTAGGTTCGAAACTAGTTGCTACCTTTTGTTTTTTATTTCTCCTAGGTTCATCAACATTTTGATCATCTTTAGAAGTTTTCCTATAAGAAGAAACATTTTCATCTAATTTCATGTCATGATTGTTGCATTTTTAAGAGGGAAAACATTTTCAAAGAATACTACATTCTAGATTCATATAACGAATAATCATACAATAACATAAATCTATAAGCGGCACTATTTAAAGCATAACCAATAAACAAATCATCAACAATTTTAGATCCAATAGTGTTCGTTTTAAAAGCAAACAATCCTACTTTTGCTACGCACTCCACACTTTTAAATAATTTAAATTAGGAGCATAACATTTCCACAATTTATATGGGGTACAATCTAACTTTTTATGAGGCATTCTATTAAGGATATAATTTAGAAAGTACAACCTCCCACATATTATCAGATAAACTGGAACTAAGCAAAAGAGCATTCATCATATCTTTTAAAGTTCTATTCTTTCTGTCAACTATGCCATTTTGTTGGGAGTGTAAGGGGCATAAATCTTATGAATAATGCATTCTTTCTCATAATTTCTTTAAGAAGATTAACGTATATTCCCCTCCCCTATCAGATCTAATTCTTTTTATTCTTTTATCAAGTTGGTTTTCTACTTCTGTTTTATACACTAAAAATATTTTTTCTCATTCATCTTTGAACCTCAAGAGATAAACTTTAGAAAATCTTGAGTAATCATCAACAAAAGTGATATAATATATTTTTTCAACTTTACTTTTGTATTTTTAAAGTATGCTAAATCTGTATGAACTAACTCTAAAAGTTTAATTTATCTAAAAGTAATAAATTTAAAGAAAGGTCTAGAATGTTTTGCTTCAACACATATTCACATTTATTAAAGTTGGTTTCACCTAAATTAGGAAGCATGTTCATTTATTTTAACCTTTTTAAAGAGTGAATGTTCACATGACCTAATCTAGCATGCCACATATCATAAGTCTCAACAATATAAGTAGAAGTAGATGTCTTATTCATAACATTAGCCATAGTTTCAATAACAAAGAGTCGTCCACATAAATACCCTTTCCCCACATAATCACTATTACGAGATAATACCAGCTTATCAGGTTAAATACTAACTTAATTCCTATCTTATTCAAGAGTCCACCATTAATAAGATTTTTAAGTAGTGCGGAACATACAAAACATTATGTAGAGTTAGAGTTTTTCCAGAAGTAATTTTAAGTAAGATATTTCTTTTACTGAGTATTTCTAAACTGTTGGAGTTTCCCATGTAAACTTGTTCACCTTTATCTACATCTTCAAATTCGGTGAACATTTCTCTATTAGTACAAAAGTGTTTGGAAGCGTTAGTGTTCATTGCCCACTCAGTGTGGAGAACCACCAAATTGGCCTCAGAGACCATAGCAACAATCATCTCGTTTGGATTCTCGATCAAGTTTGTGAAAGCCATGCTTTGCAGTGAGTAAAATTTACTTCAAAATTGTTGGAAATATAACTTACTGCAAAAATGAAAGATTAGCACTGACTGGAAAAATAAATGAAGACCAAGTAATTTTACTTTGTCGTATAGTTACTGCCTTAGAAGTAATTTCGCTCGGACTGTTGTATTCCTTAAAAATAGACGTTACATAGTCTTGTTTCCTCTAAATTTCTTTTTTAGTAATGAAAAATGTACTAATTAAAAATGTACTCCTCTAATATTATAAATATAACTTTTTCATTTTTAGTAATGAAAAATGTACTAATTAAGGGCACAAAGGTTATATAGTCTTGTAACTAGTGTATTAGTCATTATCTTCCTCCTAATTGGCAAAGTTTATAACATCATCACCTTTAAACTTTATGATTTCTACTTTTCTATAAATTGATATATATTCAATCTCTCTCCTGAACAATTCTCCTCCTCTTTAGAGCACGAAACTAGCTCCAAAACCTATCAACTTTTGTAATTAAAATCATGGGCTAATTTCACAGCCCCATGTATTTTTGTACACGATAGAGTTTGATGGCCCAATGTTATTCACTCGGAAGTAATTATTTCATTCAGGCTTTTCATCAATGCCGAACTCTGGATAATAGCAAGCAGCCTAAGAACAACGCCGCGGACAACAGCATTCTTGATGGGACCGTCTATCAGCAGATAAGAGTAAATCTATATTTGTTTCATAGATTTTTATACAAATTTTGGGTTCTTTGATTTAATTTGTCTTCTGTCTCCTAGCAGATTCTATGAAGAGGAACGTCCCATTCCCGAGCTTAAAGACTGCTTTCTTATTCAGTGCTGGGTTATTTGCAACACATTTGTCTTTTAGAACATAGGCTCGAGGAAATGCTATTGATCGAACAATCGAAGAGATTCTCGATGGCAACGAAATGATGCACAGATAGCATTGCTTGCAGTACAATAGGCTGATATGCCCTCACCGACCATGTTCAATGATCTGCCAGTTTACTTGGCAGTCAAGGACCCATGAGTTTACTACTTTGTGAAAGCTTAAGGCATGATGCCCCCTTATAGCAAATCTTGACAGGATTTGTAATTAAAGATATCAGTTCTTACAAGTTCAACACATGTATTAAGTACAAACTTGGAAGAAATATTACATAATCTGTAGCAAAAATGTTGCATTTTGTAAGTGGTGTAATTTTCTAAGGTACAATAAACGACCGAGAGAGACATGTTTCCTCCCCTTTTAAAATTGATACCTATACAATCTCGACTCAATCATATACTACAACGAAACGGCACTTGTAATCTATTACATCCCCTCTCGAAATGATATGACGAAACACTAGACACTAGCTTGGGGGCTGGCAACGGATGAAGATGACTCACCTGCGCCAACTGCATCAGGTTTCTGGTTCCTGCTTCTACCATTTGTAACAATTTTGTCCGACTCATCTTCCTTATCCTTCTTTACCATCACTGGTTGGAACTGCCAAATCGTGACAAAGAAAACCCAGTAAACATGAGATGCCATGCCATGGTGGATAAGGTGCAACTTCCATGTACTTTTAGAACCGAGCTTTCTTTCATACCTGATATATTGAATAAATTACGTTCCGTCTGATCTGTTCCATCATATCCAAGAAGAGGTTATATCCTTCAAGCTTATACTCAATTAGTGGGTCACGTTGCGCGTATCCACGTAAGCCTACAGCTTGTTGTACAAACTTAAGGGCTTGCAAATGTTCTTTCCACAAGCGATCGATATTGCTCAAGATAAAAAAATCTTTCGGCTTCTTTCATCAAACCTTCTGCTTGCTTCTCCACCATATCCTAAATCCAAAATAAAGGGAAAAGCCTAAACCATTAAAATAAGCAAAAGACAATAAATAAGCTTGAATCTTGTGTACGCACAAGATAAAAGAAAAAAAGTTAGTGATCCCCAATACATGGTAAAACATCAGTAAGTTGAGGCTTAGATTTGATTAATGTACCAACTGCAGGGGTATATATATTTTCAGCATGATATCAATTCGGTGAAAACTTAATCTAATCAAGTAAAAAGCCCCAATTCAAATAAACAAGACTAATATACTGACCCTTTTCTGCAAATATGCTTCCCGACCATGACGACGGAGATAATCCTGTAAATCCTCATAACTCGAACACTCACTACTCAATAAATCTGGGGTCAAATCATTCAACAGGTAGCAGTACCTGAAATTATGGCAGTAAATAAAAAAAACTAGTTTGTTCTCGCTAGGAAGATCCTGTATATGAGAAAGGTAAACAAGATCCTGCTTATTACTCAGACAAGTATTGTATTTCTATGTGCTAAAGAGTAAATACTAGTTCTGAAACTTAAAAATGATGCGGAGTAGAAAGATGGTTGCAATTAGACAGAATTCTCGTCATTATCCTGTCGAGTGTTTGTGTCATTTCGAACACCAAGCGTAGAGAATAAGGCGACTCTTACTGTTGAACTTTTGCAATGAGCTTTTCAAGATCCCAGCTTTCCTTTGGAGCATCTGAACCAATATTTGCCTATTTATCATAAAAAGGAAAAGAAATAAATACCCATAGACCAAATAGAACCTAGATAGACATAGATGAGAGTGCTAGCCAAAAGTTCACAAATCTTCACCTCTAAGATGTCATCCATTGTCAATTCAGCATATTCAATAATAAGAGATTGGAGATTGTCTGACATGAGAGCTCGTCTTCTTTCTGTATAGACACGATCTCGTTGACTGTTTAAGACCTCGTCATACTCAAACAACTGTTTACGAATGTCAAAAAAGTAGTTTTCCACTTTCCGCTGAGCTTCATCAAGTGCTTTAGTCAACATCTTGGATTCAATTGGTAGGTCTTCAACTCTGAAAGCTCTCATCAAACCCTTCAAGTATTGACAGAAAAGGTTTTAACAAGATGTCAAGAATTAGCACACTTGAAAGCAGAAAAATGCAACCACAGAGCAAACCTGAATTCTATCCCCTCCGAAAATTCGAAAGATGTTATCTTCAAGACTTAGAAAAAAGCGAGAACTTCCAGGGTCCCCTTGCCTGCCACTTCTTCCACGGAGCTGTATAGATAAAAAATGCAATCTAAAACTAAGTATAGACTATAGAAGCATTTTTCATGTACCGACCTAAAGAGAACAATGGAATTGCTCATCTTGATCTTCTGTTTCTTTTTCTCCTCTCATTTTGAAACAACAAAGGTCAGGGGAAATCTCCTTGACTTAAGCACACAACAATCTAATCAAATAGCCAGTTTAAATTTTACAAATGTTTCCAAAATTAACCTGATTATCTATTCGTCGTGACTCATGACGTTCTGTCCCCACCACATGAAGCCCACCAGCTGCCACAACCTGTAATGACATAGAAATTAAGATGTTGTATGTAAAACTTAAATCAATTATAAGTTCATTCAAAGGGGAAAAGAGAACCTGCTTCCTCTCTTCCTCAGTGTAGGCCTTATATTCCTTTACAATTTCTAAAAATGCACTTCGCAGCTTGGCTATAACTTCATCCTGAGCAGGGCCCTGTAAATACATAAGTACGATGACTATTGTTTTATAGGGTATCTGTCGGATGCTATTTGATAGTATATCAACGGATTCAGTGACTCTTAACAAGTAAAATGAGGCTTCAATCTAACAAATCAGATTATATGCACAGTAAATTATTGCCGTCTTTAATACACCTTTTCACAAGAATAAGACAGCAGCTCTTCAGCTTCTAGCTCACTTAAAGATTTCTTGCCCCAAGTGTTGACAGCTAACTCTACAGCTTCCTCTGCTAACTTGGTGTTTTTGCTGGATAGCTTGCATGGGAATAACTTCTCATTCACCTGGAATAGAAACAACAGTTAACACCAGCAACTGGAAATAAAACTAGAAGTCAAGAAAGCAGCAACCTTAATCTGAAATAAATTCATCAAAACCAAAATTAGTTTCATATAGCAATCGAGAATAAAACCTTCCATGTCTTCATTGGAGGAGGTTTCTTCACTGATACAAAGACTCCTCCAGCTGGTTGGACGACTCTGCAACATTTATATACTTTAAATGTCAATGTAAACCATTATACACGATGCAAGTAGCAATTATGAGGCCGCAATAACTTAGGAGCTATTGCAAGAAAAAAAAATAGTGAATATCAAATTAAACCTTGGCATTAGCATCTCACGTAGCTTCAGCCTGGCTATAAATTCCGCATTGCCACCAAGGATGATGTCTGTTCCTCGGCCTGCCATATTGGTAGCAATAGTCACTGCCCCTAGACGACCACTCTGCGCTACAATCTCTGCTTCTCTCTCCACATTCTCTGGTTTTGCGTTGAGAACCTTAAAAAATTAACTTATCAATCTCTCACCCAGATAAATTTAGTGACAGGATTGTGCGGGACTTTCTTTTCCTCAAAGCTCAAAATGAAGTTGTACATCTTTGTAGGAAAAGACATAAGTGCTTTTCAGACACCAATTTTCATTTCTAGTGTTGAAATAATGTGCAGTTCCCAAACTGAACATCCTTGATCATAACTCAAAGAAGGCCTTACCTCATGGGGGATTCCTGCTTCTTGCAATTGCATTGACAATGAATCACTTTGCTCAACACTTGTTGTGCCAACAAGTACCGGACGGCCTGTCTTGTTCATTCTAGAAATTTCTACAACAACTGCCTGCCATTTTCCATTAGTTGCCCTGAAAACTACATCCGACTCATCCTGATCAAGAAATTAAAGGGAAAAGGGATTAGGATAAAACCTTAAATATAAGGTGACATATTCTGAGATTAGGATCAAAATGACAATTATTTCAGTTCTCACCATCTGCAATCAAAACCTGCAGTAAAAATGTACAATTGGAAAATATAGACCATGAAAGCTCGAACTAACCTTTCTTATCATGGGCTTATTTGTGGGGACAATAGTAACTTTAAGCTTGTATATGCTCTCAAATTCTGTGCTTTCAGTTGCAGCAGTGCCAGTCATTCCACAAAGTTTTGGAAACTGTACGGCAAATGTTCCAGCATTAGAAAGTTGAATTAAAATAAATTTCCAGAAAGAGTTTCACCAAACTATTAGATAGAGATGCTCCAACCTGAAGAAAAAAGTTTTGGTAACTGATTGATGCCAGAGTTATAGTTTCATTTTGAATAGGTAAGCCCTCTTTGGCTTCAACTGCTTGGTGAAGTCCATCACTCCATCTCCTCCCCTAATGGAAACATGAGTATTATTATATATAAAACCCAACACCCTAATTTATCTCGATATTTACCTGAATATTTTTCTTCTCATGCAAGTGACATCATAAGTTAAACATAATTTCATTTTCTTCATTCAGTAGGCTAGCCAGAATAACATATTTACCTGCATAACTCGACCAGTAAACTCGTCTACGATAAGCACCTCCTTGCCACGGATGATATAATTTACATCTTTAAGAAATAATTCCTTTGCTTTAATAGCATTCAAAAGATATGATGCCCATTGTTCACGTGGATCATACAAATCTTTTACATCCAGAATTTCTTCAGCATCTTCATAACCCTGTTCTGTAAGTAAAACAGTTTTCTGCTTCTCATCCACCTACATAAACAGCCCTCTTAGTTAATGAGGCTTTTCTCTCTATTTTTTTCTTAAAAAAAAAACCCTTTTCTTTACTAATTTTCTGTCATGTACATGTCGAACAGTGATCTCTAATCCCGATAAGGCTAACTTTTAATCATTTTTATATGCACCAAAATATACTAATCATACCAATAATATTTACATGAATTATTCAAGAAAGCTCGAACTTGATTCTGGAAGCTCTTCTAATTTAACAATCAAATTAAGGGAGAGTATGCTAGAAGAAAAACAATTACAATAACTAGCTTGTGCTAATTTTTAGAGGGGGAACACACACACAAAATAGAGGTAAGCAGCCTTACAGTATAATGTATATCTCGCTCAAAGGCCGCAGCTATTTTTGCTGCTTTATAGTATGCATCACTAGGTTTTTCGGCAGTCCCAGATATAATCAGTGGTGTTCTTGCTTCATCAATAAGAATAGAATCAACCTCATCTATGACACAATAATTGAAATCCCTCAAAACAAGCTCCTCAACACTCTGCTTACAGGAAAACGTTCCGTCAAGTTAAGTAGAAATACTATAATGTCTTGATTGAATTGAAGCGACAACATTATAAAAACAAAACCAGCATATAAGACAAGAATTACTTTCCGTGGCAAGATTGTCTCTCAAGTAGTCAAAACCTAGCTCACTGTTGGTGACGTAAGTAATGTCACACAAGTAGTTTTCCCTTCTCTGTTCACTTGTCATGTTCTCTGATTAAAAGAAATGAAAGAATCAGTAGTTAGCTACAACGATCATTAGAAGTTATAAATCAACACGCAGCTCAAATCTAATGATGTCTGATTGACCTAATCGAGAGTTCATGCCAATTGCTTCAGTAAAACTAAGTGCGAAATTAAATATTCATTCAAACAAGTAAAGAACAAGACCTACGTTGAATTAGGCCAACCTTCAACCCAAGAAAGCGAGGAACTTGACCAACCCATTCACAATCTCGTCTGGCAAGATAATCATTGACAGTAACCACATGAACTCCTTTTCCACTTAATGCATTCAAATAAGCTGGTAAGATGGCAACAAGGGTTTTTCCTTCTCCGGTCCTCATTTCAGCTATTTCTCCCTTGTGAAGAACCATGCCACCTACATGAGCAAAGTTCAGGTAGCTTGAGTTACTTAAATTACAAGTATATAATTTTTTTCTAGAACCATTAAAGTGAAGAACTCGAGATTAAAATTCACACATTGATGTGGCTACTTATCCACACCCAACTTGAACACAAATAATCGACAAAGAAGCATTGGATCGGTAGATAAAGCAGTCCAAATAACATTTTTATCTATAGATTACTGCCAAACACTGCGCTACTGGTGCTTTTGGTAGCCGAAATCAACAGATATGAACATGAGACTTCACCTATCAGTTGGACATCAAAGGGACGAAGTCCAAGGACCCTCTTGGAGGCTTCTCTTACAACAGCAAACGCCTCCTGCGAACAAAATTACTTCTTTGGTTACAAATTAATGTGTATCAAAACAAGTACGAAGTGACGGATGTGAGTGAAAATCAGAATAGAATTTCTTCAGACTTTTGCTTTGGAGTTTGCAAGCTTGTACCATAACATGTTGGGCTAATAAACTACCTTAAGCTCTTCCATACCGTAGACTACTAAATACTAGTGATTTTTCTCCTTTAAGAAATGATCTGAACTTACAGGCAAAAGAGAGTCCAAAGATTCGCCTTGAGAAGCACGTTCCTTCAAAGCAAAAGTCTTTTCTCTGAGCTCAGTATCAGACAATGCAGCCATGGTCGGTTCCAATCTATTAATAGCCGTAACAACCCCAGCATACTGCTGCCTAGTGGACTCTCCCGTATCATTCCCTTTAAAAATCCCACCCAAAAGACCCCCTAGTGAAGCTGAAACACCCATCCTCCGCCGCCTCCTACTTCCCAACCTGGGTGTCTTCGCTCCAATTCCAGCCACTCTAAGGGAATTCCCACCGAAGAAGTCGGAACCCACATGGGGAATTGGGGGGCAGATTTTTTTCTGTAATTGAAGATGAATTTGGAAGGAAATGGTGAAACAGAGAGCGAGTAGTGGTTTACCAGGGTGGAGTCGAATATGGGTGCCCCGGCCATTTTTGGAGGATGGATACCAATAATTGGAAACTAAAGCTTAAAAAGTAAAAACTGAAGCTTTTGTTACAAGTAGTGAAGACAAGTGTATGAAAAATGATGATGAAGTGAAGAGGTAAAAGAGAAGAAGATCGTTAACAGACGATGAGAGAGGGAGAGGGATAAGGTGAGGGGAGGGGAGAGAATCTAGTCTTTCAAACTTATGGTTAACATGTGGCGTTGCGTACCACCGCCAATCTATCAAACCCGGTTCTTTACTTCTTTTGATCCACCAAAAATCAAATTTAGTATTGTTAAAAATACTTTTAGAATCATAAAAAATATTAAACGCATAAAGCTTCATATAAATTTTCATGTTAGAAGTATTTTTTAATTGAAGTTAAAATATAACTTTTAAGAGTTAAAAAATTATAATTTTTTATTAATATCAAAATTATTTTAAATAAATTTATTCATTTATCTTCTTATATATATATATTTTAAAAAATATAAAATAAAAATAAATTATATATGAAAAATTATTTTTGACAACAATAAATAGTTAAATCTTAAACTAAATAATTTAAAATTAATTTTTCATTATATTTTTCAATCCCCAAATCCAAAGTGCTTCCCTTTCCTTGCCTTCTTTTGATTAACACAATTAAGAATGCAATGAAGTGAACAAATTTTGTCATTATTTAATAGTTTGTACTTTCCACTACATTAATGATGTATAATCTTAAAAATTACTACAATTATGGATCGTCTAAAAAAATTAGCTGACCTTTATTCTCAAATGTAATGGGGTAAGGGGAGGTAGGATAGTAGGCTGCCCCCAACGCTAGGTTGAGAGCAGCTTCCGTGGGAGACCTTCGAATTATGAATTGCCCACCGTAGGACTCGTTCTCACTACCACAATTATGGATCGTCTAAAATATCTTTAAACAAAATCATTAGTTAAAAATTCGAAAAAGTTGAAGAATCAAAGATGAGGTAACAACACGTTGAATCCAGTGGTTAAAAACTCAATGACCCTTTTGTTGGATTTCAAGTTAGACCCTTATCAAGAGTGAAAACATTGGGAGAGTTTAAACTCCAAAATAAGATTTCACCACACCTCCAAACTAAGCAAAACCTCTTGCAATTCTCTCTCTTTGAACTCCATTAAGTAGGAACATCAGAAAACAAGGGGAGAGAAAAAAAAAACAACATTTGAGATTTTCTAAGTAAAATGAGCGTATATTCCAAGCTTGTAATAAATAACTCCCCATAAAACAGCATATCTATTGTATCAAAGCAAAATTCTGCCACAAAAAAATATCCCACAATATGATTAAAAACTCAGTTCCATGTAACAATTATAAACCGAAAATTTCAATGTTCAGAATGGGCCAACAGCCTTAACTGTTGACATCAGTCAGTGGACCACGCGAAGGAACAATCCTAGTAACTTCTGCCCCAATAGGTCCACTTTTTAGCAGGCTTCCCAGAAGCAAAGCATTTGGTACCTGCACAATTTTTTTACTTTGGATGAGTAAAAGAATCATACAAAAGGCATATAACTTTGTTTATAATAAAGGACCACCACTAGTATTACAAGTGGGGATATCCTCTTGTTTAAAAGAAATGCCTGCTTCGATGGAGCCAAGTACCTTCTGGGAGTTCAGGCTGTTCAAATGGGGTACAAAGAGACTTTGCTGCTCCCATCTCACCCTTTGTTCGTGCTTTCACATCTTTCTCCACATCCTAAATACACAGAACTGTCTTCTAAGAAAATGAGGTAAAATTTAAATATGATCCGACTCATTCTGGTGTCTAACAAAACACTTCAGATTTAATGATATAATTCAGAGATGAAGGGTAACATATAAGAAGCAAAACAACGCTAATTCTGTAAATTCAAGTCATACCTCCTCATCACACCAAGGTGCTAAGATCAGTTTCTTTTGCCCAAGAGCTTTAACAAAACCCATCCCAAGTTTTTACAACTTCAAAGCAGGCATCTCTCTTTTGTTTTGCAACATCAAATAGGTTATGTTGAATCTTATCCAACATTCCTTTCACTTGTTCAACCAAAAACACTCTAGAGATATCGGTCTTTTCTCCATTGTCACGGCGAACCACGCGCACCTGTCAAATAAAGCACATTTTGGTTTCAGCTGTACAGTTACAATAGGAAAAATAATAAATAAAGAATTGAAGGAAAGCAGCTATGAGAAAAAGGGGTGGGGATTAACTTGATTATTTGCCAAGTCTCGGGGTCCTATTTCAACCCTTAGGGGAACACCTTTCATTTCCCAGTTTGAGTACTTCCAACCGGGTGAGTAGTTTTCTCTTAGATCAGCTTCAGCACGAATACCAGCCTCTGAGAGCGTTGCCACAGTGGCAGCACAGGCATCAAAGATACCTTGAGTATCTGCATCTTTGTAAGGCACAGGAATCACAATGACTTGCAAAGCCGCTACTTTTGGCGGCAGCACTAAGCCTTTGTTATCCCCATGAACCATCACCATGACCCCAATCTGAAAAAATGAAAAAAAAAAATGGGGCAGAAAAAAAAAGCAGAATAGCAGCAATAAGGAGAAAAGAATCTATCAAAATTGTATGAGTGGTTAAGGATTCTTTTCACTTCCAAACCTGTGTAACAACCTAAATCAGCAAAATATAAATGGCAGGATGGGATCACAAGGAATTATTAGATGCTAAGAACATTCAAAGTAAAGAGAAATTTACTGTTCGAGTGCTATATGCCCAGGAATTCTGCCAGACCATAGCCTTCTCGCCCTTCTCATTTTCATAATTTATCTCAAACATTTTTGCGAAGTTTTGTCCCAAACAATGTGAGGTTGCACCTTGAATACCACGCCCAGTATTTGGAATAAATGCCTATAATGTTAATATCAGATTAAAAGCTCCTCACTTCAGATTAGAGCGCATTTACGAAGCAAATAATTTATGTTCATTTATTATGGCAACAAGTACAGATTGTTATAACATGCTTGATTATACCATACCTCGACACTAGTGGTGTAAAGTCCACCGGCAAACTTCTCCAGTTCACTCTTCCTGCCTTTTGTGACAGGAATAGCCAAGAATTCCTCATATATACATCGGTAAAGCTCCAATATTTGAAGGACCTGAAGTATAACAAATTCAGATACATCAAAAGTGACCCAGTATACATTCTTCAGTGATAATTCAAAAGGCAAGACAATTGAAACTTGTAAGAACCATGACCTATGACTAGTCGAGTATTCACGCAGGAACCAATAAATTATTGACATTATTGAAAGATTTAAAAAATATGATCGCTTGTGAAATTCCTAACATGCTTGCTTAAATACTTGATTCAGAAATTCTGAGCTAGTAATGCTGTTTTAAACAGAAAGTTGATCGTTGATAAATGTGGAAGAGAAAAGTATCAGCCATACAAAATCTCCTTTTACTTTGACTTTCCCAAGTTCATTGTGCTCCAACAGTATAACAGACAAACTTCACTTCTCTACAATATAAATATTGCTGGAAAAAAAATTAAGACTACTACCTCTGCGTCTGCCTCTTCCTTTGTTGCAAAGGCAGTATGCCCTTCTTGCCATAAAAACTCACGACTCCTACAATCAAGCAGCAAGTTAGTAGTGACCACTCTATCCTCAAATACTTCAAATAAAATTCCTAGCTTGCCATCAAAAGAAAAAAGAACTGAGAAATTAATAAAGTTGACCAAGTTCAACTACCTGATAAAGGGTGTGGGATTGCTAAACTCCCATCGTACAACATTGCACCACTGGTTAAGTTTTAAAGGCAAGTCGCGGTGTCCTCTTATCCACTTAGAATAATAGGGATACATAACTGTCTCACTAGTTGGGCGGATAGCAATAGGCACCTCCAAATCTGACTCACCAGATTTTGTCACCCAAGCAACCTGATTAAACAAAAAAAAACTAAAATTTGGTCTCAAAAAGAAAATATTGATAAAATAAAGTAAAAACTTCAAGCTGAGCCACAATGTTACCATGCCAAAAGAAAATTAGTTCTCACCTCAGGAGCAAAACCCTCTATGTGATCCTTCTCCTTCTGCAAAACACCTGGAGATACAAAGAGAGGGAAATAGCAGTTCTTGACTTTCATCTTCTTGATTTCAGCATCAAAGAATGTCTACAGTTGCACATAATGGATAAGTTAACCAGAAGGAAAGGAAACAAAGATTGAGTAAAAGACATCCATAACCTACTTTCCCCTGTAATAAACACTTGTTTAGAAAATAAAATGCAGTATATGAAAATCATACGACTCACTTGCATGATCTCCCAAATTGACATTGCCCATGGCCTAAGAATATAACAGCCAGAAATGTCATAGTACTCGATCATTTCACTGTTTACAATAACCTAAAAAGAACAAAATGATTATATAATAATCCATAAGATATTAAGACCCAAATAATTACGTATAAAAAACACTAAATCATTGCATGATTCCTACAAAATATACCTCAGAGTACCATTCACCGAAATTCTCATCCTTGGTAAAGGAGAGACCCAAACCAGTCTCCTTCTTCACTTCCTTCTTTTTCCCTCCTGAAATATCAACAACGACAAAGCATTAACAAACTTATAAAACGTCACACCTATATACGCACATTAATACTAAAACCTAACCAAGACGAGCAAAAAAATATACTTACCACCGCCAGACTTTTTCTGCTCCTCTCCAGCCATATCACAAACTTCAAGTAAAAGAAAATGAGATTAGAAGATCTAGAAACAGCGTATCACCAATCAGTTTCAAAGCTAATATCCCAATTATGGTAAAATAAAGTCACTGCCCTAGTCAGTACACATATTGCTACAATCCATTACTTAATGAGTACAGAATCTATATAAGCATGTGCAAATATCCTATTAATTGGAGAAGATGCGTGTAGATAAGTGAAGAAGCAATTATCTATTACTCTTGCTGCGTTAACCAACTTTCAAATCAGAGATCTGAAAGTGATTTTTCCTCGGGTATCCAAAGGCCAAAATTCTTCGACGTTTTACAAAAAAAAGATGTGTAGCATTCACGTTAAAACTCAGACGGATAATTAAAAATCACCCAAAATAAAATTGCTTAATTATTATCAGATTTCACGATTGGTATTGAGGGACGGGTTAAATTTAGGAAGCTGGAACTGAAAAACAGAAAAGACAAAAACTGAAGAAAAATAGAAGCAAGGGGGAATATGGGAAGTCTTACCTAGAATGGTGGTGGATGCTTTGGTTGCGTTAGCTTATTCTCTCGACAGAGAATAGTGGAAAAGAGAGGCGAGGAAGTTAGAGTGTACAAGCTAAAACCCTGGAGGCTTTTAAAAACATTGAGATACGGCTAACTTAAATAGATTTGAACCGTTAGATGAGGCTAAGGACAATCTGAACTATTTGAAAAAAGGAAAACAAAGAGGTAGTCGGAAAAAGTCATCGTCCGGTTATCCAATACAGCTGCCGACGACTCCCACTTACAAAAAATAGTCCCAAATATTCTCCATCATTTACAGATTTTAGTAAAAGTCGGTTTCAAAGACTATTATCTTATTTCCTTATATAATTTTTCAATATCTCTATTTTTTTATTTCTCATATTATTTGTTTAAATGAAGGATTGATATTGTACACAAATAATATTTAAATAGTATTTATATATATATATACACACACTTTAATTAGGCAAAACTTTCGAGATAATGTTATGGAATAAATTAATTCACGAGATAATGCACTCCCTATATTAATTGCTTAAATAGGGTGAAATCCACAGTGTTGGTCGTAGGTCGTCATGCCTTCCGGGCGACATACTACGTGGTCAGCTTCACAGTAAACTCACAGAGAGAATGAACGTGTTGCATGACACATGCACGCCCCAACACATAGGTCGTCATGTCCTCCGGGCGACTTTATAGGTCGACATGCACTCCGGGCGACCTTATAGGTCGCCATGCACTCCGGGCGACCTACCTTTGCTCGCTCGCTCGGTCGGATGCCCTCGCATAACTCGCTCGGCTGCCCTCGGATTCCCTCGCATAGCTCGCTCGGCTTGCCCTCGGATGCTCTCGCATAGCTCGATCGGATGGCCTCGGATGCCCAGCGTGTTGGGACGTGCATGGCACATGCAATCTCTCATAACTCGCCGGGAAGACATGGCGACCTACGGCCAACACTATGGATTTCACCCTATTTGAGCAATTAATCTTGGGAGTGCATTATCTTGTGAATTAATTTCTTCCAGAACATTATCTCGAAAGTTTTGTCATTTAATTTAAGCGTCATACTTTATATATATACTTTAATTTAATTAGTTCAATTTTTTTAATTCGATCTGCACATATGCTTACCTATATACCAAAAATTTCTCCATAATTTTATCATATTTTCCAACAAAAAAGGAAAATGATATTCTAAACACCCACCAAAATAAATCACATTTAAACTCGCTTTTAAGGCAGAAAATGCTGACAAGAGATCAAGAGATTGAAAGTTGAAGCTCCTCATGTTATACACAGTTCTCGTCGACTTTTTGGGTTCCATAGAGCAGAAAAGGAATAAACTTCATTGGCATCGACGATCAACAGTGGCCGGATGGAACGGATAGGTGCAGCGGCCGTTGCCCAGTGCGAAAGAGAGGGGAAGAGAAAGTTGAAATTTTTGTTAAAAGATGAAAAAAATGAAATACAAATATATTTTAAGTGAAAAAAATCAATTCACCTAAACGTCAATATTTGAAAGACCAAAATAAGCAATAAAAACAACAATAACTACAATTATAAGATATCAAAATGGCATAATAATTTATAAAATGATGACACCAAGCACTGCTCCAACAAAGCATTTTCAACTTTTATGAGTTACTTTGAAGTATAACTGATCCAATGATAAAAAAAAAATGTTAACAAAGAGCTAGAAATGGGGGGAAATGATTAAGAGGAGATGAATTGATGTTACACTGCTTTCAAGGAAAGAACAACAAAAAAACAATGAGCAGAATGATTCCAATAAATGATGGTTGGATGGAACTCCATTTTTTGGAGGGATTCTAACCGCAAAATACCTAAACCATCTCTTAGATTGGTTCTGGTGGCACTACTTTTAAACCCCGAATCCATACACAGAAACTCGGGTCATCAAAATGTATAAAACTGCTTTTCAGTTTTGTCCGCTGCTCTGTTGTCAGGGTTCGAAGTTGTGGGAATCTTGCCTCCTGCATCAGTATCACACAGTAGTTACTTATGGATTCGTCGTAAGGGGTTAAAAGCTAAGAGGCTTCTCCATCTTTTATTTTTATTTTTCCCTTACCTGCTCGTAAGGAGGATCCTTGTGTGCTGGTATCAGCCGAGAAACAAAATATCGAGCCTGTGAGCTCCCCTCCTGCAATGAAATCAGATCATTAGATTCTTCTCTGTCAACTGCTAACAAATAAACACATATTGGGATCAATCAAGGGAAAAGAACCTTGAATGCAAAGATCCGAGGTGCTGGAAATCGTAACTCTGTGAGCTCTTCTGCCAATGTTCTACAAGCTGCCAAAGCTGCTGCACTTCTTCCTTCATCAGCAGCAAGCTCAGCACCCTGAAGTCAGCAGTTGACAGGGTCATATAGTCACGGGTATTATAAACAGAGGTTTACTATACAGAATTTCATTCAGAGTGACAATGATATAAAAATGTTAGATGAATGACATAGCTATGACTGCATTTACTTTGTGCATTTAGCAAAACACAAACAGCTTCTTAGTTCCAGTCCTTCCCTTCCCTCTAAACCCGGCTACATCACTTTTTGACTGTGGCCTGATATCTATACCACCTGGCTAGATGATGCTCACGAAGAGCATAGAAAAAAATAATGTCTTTGCTTGCAAATTCCCTTCAAACTAAATATGTTATCAGATCTTTATTCAATCACAAAGCAAAACTGGATCCTTCATAGAACAGAAGTGCGTGGCAGACTCATAAATCAGAGATGACGGCATAGGAGCAAAGGTATCCAGAAAGAAAATATAGCAAGATATAAAACAATACAAAGCTAAAAGATGGGTTAATGTACATACCAACCAAATGAACACATCTGTACCATGGTCTAGAACAACAGCTGTATCAGACTGCATGGCAAGATCATAAGCAGGCAACTCTTCAAAAGTGCCTCCATCCCGGTGCATAAGACAGCGAGGGGAAATCATGCGAAGTGAAAGATCAAAGGATGCATTCAAAAACAAATTCCTCAGTACAGACCTCTCATCTTCATGACCAACTATACTTCCCAACAGTGGTCCCCTCCTAAGATGGAATAGAAGCTCAGGTAGTAAAGATATTTCTTTTGGAAACTGGAAAAGCTTTAACTTTGGCACTTGAGACCCAAATTTTAAAGCAATGTCTTTGACTCTTTCATCTATTGTTGTCTGCATATCAATTGCATCAGAATAACTTTTTGCTCGCAACAAAGTCCTCTTGGCAATTATGACTGCAGCCACTTCATCTTGAACACTCTGAAGATAGGCTGAAACACTATCCACGGTTGGCAATCTGATAGTAATCACTCTAGCTATATCAGCTTGATAAACATTTGAGTATTGAATAGCAAACTGGAAAAACACATAGTCACTCTTTATGTCATGTTTATTCTCCAATGATATTGAGAAGCATTGTGTTTCTTCAACACTCAGCATTTGAATACATAGAGAAATATCATTTTTAAAGGTTTCATGGGTGTCTATATGTGCCTGTTCACCAGGACCTACAACCTGAGTAACAAGAATATCATCAGAACAGCGTATCTCCAACAAACCATGGGAACCAGCAGCTCTGGCAGATGCCCTTTGCAAGTTCACACCAAAGGCTTCACCAAAGTCATCATGAAGAACCAACACACCCCCCGAAGAGTTTGCAAGTGGCTGCAGTACAGGAACCCTTACAGGGCATGTCCCAGCACATAGAACATCAATCACTATGTTATGTTGATGAGCCTCACGACCAAGACGCTCCATCCATTTCACTGCTGTCTTTTCTCTATGAGGATAGTTAGGGTGAGTATAAGAATGAGGGACAGACCCAGGACCATAAGTATTTGGTCCACCAGCACAAACAATGATCCTGCTATTGCCACCTGGCCTTTTAACTACACCTCGAGACATATCTACAAATGGTCCTTGAATAATTGCCATGGCAACCTCCACAGCAGTACCCAAGCACCTATCTCTTGATGCTTCTGGAACATTCAACTTGTATGGCCTTAATGAAGAGAATATCAGGTGTGCAATCTCTTTTGAAGCATGCATTGGTGACAAGTAAATACCAGTTCCATAAATCAATCCTTTCAAGGTCTCCTGCGTTGGTGAAGTGCCACCTGGAATCACATCAGCAGACGCTATGGATTCCATTGAAAACTCATAGACTGATACTGTGCGACCATACAAAATTATTCCTATTCTTGTTGTTGGTGGCACTGAATTGACAAATGCATGCAAGGAGCTCTGTAAATGCTGAAGGTGTGGCTCATCTAAGCATTCATCGATAACAAGAACAACTGGTGCCGAAGTTCTGGAATCAGTAACCGGCACATAACTCGGTCTCTTATTCCCAGTTTGAATAAAATCAACCAAAGGAGATGACAGCTCAGGAAAATTTCGGAGCTCCTCCTTGCTGGATGCTACATATTCATCTTCACTTCCATTTAGATTCCGGCAGATTACACACTGCCATTGGCCAGAGCCAATTAGTATGTTTGAATAAAGATTTGAATAAGCTCCACAATTAGGGCATCGATGAGGATCACGTTGTATCACTTGAGGACCTGTTGAAGTCTCCCTCCCAGGAGAAACCAATACTCCAAAGCCTAAGCTAGGTACATTTGCTAGCTTCTTGTGTTTCATCACCTAACATGCAAATAGATAGTATAATTGCAAGATTAAAAGATTGTAAATTCAATAATATATACAAATCGCAAATTCCAAAAAGAACATTAAGACTTAAGGTATCAAAAGCATAGAAAATTGGCTGGTAAAAATATATTTCATGCTTCAGTTTCTTCCCAAAAGGAACAAAAAAATACCTTATGAAAGGAGAATAAAACACACGGGGTCTCTCCAGCAGGCACCGATTCCTCCATTGCACTGGGAACTTGTTGTTGAAGCTCAACTGATCCATTAGAAAAATGGGGAGGTGAAGATGTGGGCAAAGACGAGCCTGACGAGAAAGCCAGTGGCTGAGGAGTTGCAGGAGAGGTTCGGAAAGGCCCGACAGCCGGCCGGACTGGTGATGTAAATACAGGAGGACCAGGGGGGGTACTTAGATGGGGAATAGGACTTCCAGTTTTGACCCCATTTTCTGGTGTTAGCGTAATTGGATTTTTTATCGAAGGGCAAGCGATCTGATCTGGTTGTAAATTCGGTGGAGTAAATCTTGATGCTCCAGGTGAGATTGTGGAAGCAGCATTAATTGGACTTTTATCAGGATTAGGTGAAGGGGAAGCTTGTGGTGGAGTAGCCATTGCAATTGAATCGAAAGCTTTCCTTAATTGAATATCAAGAACAGTGAAACAAGGAGACTAAAACAAGATAACGCAATTCCAGAAAGAGAACAAAGGTGAAGGCTTAATCATTTGCCAAGAACTCCGACGCAGTGTTCGCACAAGAAGAAGGCCACACAGAACCATAAAACCCCGTAAACAACCAACAGCCAAGATTCCAATTTGAAGGAAACCCAAAGCTAATGCAAGAATTCAATCAAGATTCAAGAATCCCCACCCGTAAATTCACCACAATTCACCTTCCAAGGTTTTAAGAAAAAAGAAGGGGCTTGATCACTTAGTTCTCTATCTTCACCTCAATTCAAGCTTCAATACAATCCCCTTCTAAAAATCTACTTTAAAACCCTGGAATTAAGCCTAGGGTTTTTATGAAAATAACAGAACAAAGTTAAGGAAATATCATACCTGATACGAGAGATGATAAAGAAAGGAGAAAGTTTTGGTTGAACTATCATAGACTTGGAATCATAACAATCTTTGGCTCACTGTTCGTTGTTCTCTGTGTTGGTTTTAGTCTTTGTTTGGCGTGGCTTAGGCAAAGCGAGCCCCAAGGACAGAGCCCATTGTCATTTTGATACATATTATTAGATAATTTAGATCCGATATGCATAATAAGTTGGAAATTAACAATAATTTAAATAAATTCAATGATATAATTTATTTTATAATATACATACATCATATCAGCATGTATATATATATGTATCTTTAGATATAATTTATATATTTTAAAAATGTTTTATGTTTAATATAAATTAACATTTAGCGTTTAAATATGTTGTTAGATTAATAGAAGGATCTGATTGAAATAATATTGATAATTTAATAATTTAATCAAAATGTTATGAACTTAGGACCAATTTAAAATCTGAGCATATTCTGGGGGTATTGATGTAATTAACTCTTTGATTCTTTCCCTGTTGGCAAGATCGCTTCTTTTCATTGGTTGGAAATCTAAACTATGACGTGTTTTTAATTTGGGTAAACTACATAAATGATCACTAATGTTTCAATATGTATTCATTTTCCTTACTAAAATATCAAAAATAACAAATTGATCATTAATGTTATTGATTTGTAACAAAATAGTCACTCCATCATCATCCCATTAAATTAATGCGCTGCAACGTTAACAAAAATATTAATATTTAGTTTTACCCTTAAACTACTATTAAAACATCAAATAAGTCCTTAAACAATGATTTTATTTTGAGTTAATTGCATCATATTTCCTAAACTATAACCCTCATTTTAAATTGGTCCTTCAAATTTTGAACATTTCAATTTCATCCCTAAACTATGAACATCCTTTTAAATTAGTCCCTAAACTTTTTGAACATTCCAAATTCATCCAAATATGCAAATAGGTTCAACCATAATTCAACCAAGTTTTTTTTCAAACATATAATAATATAATTTGGTCTGCCAATTTTATTAACAAGGGATGTGATTAGTATATATGTATAGTTTAGGATGCAATTGGAATTTTCAAAAAGTTTGGGAGCCAATTTAAAATGAATGTCATAGTTTGGGAATGAAATTGAAATGTTCAAAAGTTTGAGGACTAATTTAGAATGATAGTCATAGTTTATGGATAAAACGTGAAACATTTAAAATTTCAAGGTAAATTTAAAATGAAAATCATACTTTTGTGAGGACATATGATACCATTAACTTAAAGAAGAAGAAAAAGAGTATAAAAGAAATTGACAAATATTCATTTTTTAAAGAGAAAATAACCTCAGTGACCAAAAATGCCTTATAATATACGATTTTAACCAACTTTTTTGGATTTGCCAAAAATGATCAACTAAATCGCAATGCGATCGATAATTCGCAACGCGATCTCCGGTATCGCAAATCAGTTTCCAGATTCGCAACGCGATTCTGACTATCGCATTGCGATTTTCCAAATTCGCGTTGCGATTTTCCTAATTCGCAATGCGAATACGTAAATCGCAATGCAAATCTGACTATCGCAATGCGATTTACATAGCGCCATTCGTATCCAACGCGTTTTTTTTTTCAAATTCCAAACACGAATATATTAATATATCGGAACACTGAACCATCCACAGTATATCCCGTAATCGTAACTCATAACCTAAAACCCTAAATCACAACTCAGTCTCATCTCCATCTCCCACTCTCTAAGACGACATCTGTCCCCATCTCCGACGAAATCAGTCCCCATCTCCGACGATATCAGTCTCCATCTCCGCGAAATCATTCACGCTCAGAAATGGAAAATCATCCATCGAGGGTTAGTTTTTTTTAATTATTTTTATTTTGAAATTTTTGCATTATTATTAGGTTTTTCATATTGAAATTGATGATAAGTTTACTGGTGTTTTCAATAATAGATTAACCATTCACTTAGATTGCTTATTATATTCATTCGATTGCTGTCAATACTGCTAAACTGTTTAGTCTTTAACCATGTGAAGTTAGTATTGTCTTTGTTTTATCTTTTGGTTGAAGTAATGCAATCCATTCAAGTTTCTTTCAATTTTAGTATTTGAAACCGAGAATGACTATCGCAATGCGATTCTGTCGTTGCGATTTTCATTTCGCGTTGCGATAGTCAAATTCGCGTTGCGATAGTCATTTTCGTGTTGCGATTTTCATTTTCGTGTTGCGATTTTAAGTTTCAGAAATTATTTTTCTTCTGTAAATTGAAACTTGAATGAATTGCATTACTTCAACCAAAAAACAAAGACAAATACTAAATTCACAGTGTTGCAAATTTAAGTTTGAAAAATAACTACTACTCTTTATGTTTATTGTTCTTGTTATATCTTCACAGTGTAGTTTTTGGTATATCTAAATTGGTATGTTTATTGTTTTTGCAGAACTTTTATTCGGCTCAATTGACCTTAAGAAATAAAGTAAGTCTGGCCAAAACAATTACGTCGAAGCTTTCACCTGCACAAAGAAAAATATTTGAGGATACTTGCTTCGGGCCATGGCTGAAAGTACAACATCCGGGTGGAGATGCTATGTTGACCATCTGTTTCTTCAAACCATGACTAGCGATCTACCAGAGACTATACAACGTCGTGATGAAGAGATATGGTTTAATTTTCCACCGGCGTATACGTGTTTTGGGCGGGAGGAGTTTTGCTTAATCATCGTCTACGCTTCGGACACAATGATGTAGATCAGTACACTAGACATATTACCCGCCTATCATGGTTTTCCCTGGTTTTTTCTGAGCTGTCAACGGAGAAGTCGAATTTACACGTGGAAGACTTGACGAGATTATTGAATAAGAAGATGGTTTTACTCGGATGGATAACGTCGATGTTGTCCGAGTATGCCTTCTAATACTTTTGCAAGCTGGTTTTTTAGGCAGAGAGCCCTACAACCTATTCCTAATGATCTAATTAAATTGGTAGAGGACCTAAATACATGGAACCTGTTTCCGTGGGGTTCGTATCTATGGAAAGCTACATGGAATAAGTTGTCGTATGCCTTTGATGATCGGAAAAGTTTGCATGACGATGGTTCCAAATACACTTTGTCAGGCTTTATTTGGGCCTTTAAAGTAATAATTTTATATAATGTTTCCAAAATTATAATTAATTCTTTAACAATTACTAATGTTTGTTATTATATTGTTTGTAGATTTGGATATTTGAGGCCTTTCCCGCCATGCAGACATATGCATTAAAAACTTATAATGATATTCCTAGGGCTATTTCCTGGAAGAGGAAATGGTCATTGCAGCAATGGGAAGATTTACTACCGTATACTATAATAAATAATGTAAGTTAACACAAATACTACCATATGTTTATAAACAAGTTATTACTAGTACACGTTTAACTTTGTTTGAGCTTTTATATTGTTAGGAGGCCAACACTCCATTAAAGAGGCTGACACCCACGGAAGCTGAGCTTTCCACTGATTGGTGGCAAGCTAGTAAGCGTTTTTTTGATGGCACGGATGATAAGCAGCCACTACTTCGAGAGCCATCACCTCACCCAGAGCCATTACCTGATCGACCCGAATATACACCTCCACAACGAGAGTCATCACCTATTCTGTCACATCATCGAGCCTCTTCTCCACCATCACCTCATGATAGGCGACCGGCACCGGCAATGATGTCACGACGTTTATCTCCCTGTTCTCCACCTCCTCCTCCACGGGATGAGTTAGGGGAGTTACGTAATGAGGTCAATGCCTTGCGTGAGAAGGTCGGTACTTTTACGCGATGACAATGGTGCATGGCGTGTTGAGGTGTCTACTTTATGTGGTGAGGTAGTAGCTCTACGTGAGATTATAGTATCGTTGTAGAACGAGGTTCATACTCTACGCAACGAGGTAAGTTTAATATTTTTCATATTTAACTTGATGATAAATTTACTCGTAATTTCACTTAGATTGCTTAGTAAATTCATTCGGTTGCTGCCAATACTGTTTAACTATTTATTCTTTAACCCTGTGAAGTTAGTATTTGTTTTTGATTGTCTTTTGGTTGAAGTAATGCAATCCATTCAAGTTTCAATTTGCAGAAGAAGAATAGTTTACTATTGCAACGCGGAAATAACTATCGCAACGAGAGAATCGCAATGCGAAATGAAAAACGCAACAACAAAATCGCAATGCGAAAATGACTATCGCAATGCAAATTTGACTATCGCAACGAGAGAATCGCAATGTAAAATGAAAATCGCATTGCGATTCTCTCGTTGCGATAGTCAAATTCGCATTGCGATAGTCATTTTCGCGTTGCGATAGTCATTTTCGCGTTGCGATTTTAAGTTTCAGATTCTATTCGTCTTCTGCAAATTGAAACTTGAATGAATTGCATTACTTCAACCAAAAGACAAATACTAACTTCACAATGTTGAAAATTTAAGTTTCAAGAATAAACTACTACTCTTTATGTTGTCATTGAACCTGCACTAAGCCTATATGTTGTCCTTTTAAATATGTTTATATAAGTGCTTACTTCTGGAATGTTATCTGATGCATTTTGTAAACAATGATATAATAATGACTTGGGTGAATACCGTGCAAGTTTGAAATATATTTGTCTTTGTTTTCACTGTTTAATATCATGTTTGTTTATTTACTGATTTATGTATTAATTTATTTTTAGCGGCTCGCTAAGGTGGATGCTCTACGTCGGGTTTTTCTTGCAAGACGGAGTTCACGCATCAGACGGCGTGCACGTGCCATTACGTCTTCATTCACCCCAATAGTGCGAAGAATCCGTAAGAAAAAGCCCGACTCACCTGTCATCGTTCAAGAGGCCTCCCCTATCGTTCAAGAGGCCCCTATCATCCCTCAAGAGTCCCCTCCCACCGTTCAAGAGGCCACTGTCATCGTTGAAGAGGTCCCTCCCAACATTCTAGAGCCCGATTCACGCGGCGTAATATATCAAATTATTGAGAAGCCCCCTCACATGCCGGACATGATGGATGACTGTTGGCTTTCGTATAAGTTACCGGCCAGTACCATTTCGGCATATGAAGTGGAGAG